CTCTACTGAAGCGGAATATCGTGCTCTAACCGAAGCTGCATCTGAGGTTAAGTGGGTTCTTTCTCTTATGTCTGAGCTTGGCATTCCGTCTCCGGCTACTCCGGTGCTCTATTGTGATAACATTGGTGCTACTTATCTCTCTGCAAACCCGGTGTTTCATTCTCGCATGAAGCATCTAGCTCTTGACTATCACTTTGTTAGAGAGCAAGTTCAAGCCAAACAACTTCGTGTCTCGCATATAAGTTCTCAAGATCAGCTCGCCGATGCTCTTACCAAGCCACTGCCCCGTGCTCGCTTTGTTGATTTGATTGACAAGATCGGACTTCGCAAGCGTCGTTCGTCTTGAGGGGGGATGTTAGTATATACATTGGAATATTCTCTTTCTATATTATCGTATAAAGATCCTCGTGTATATGTAGTTTAGATTCTCTAGCTCATGTATAAATATGAAAGCCAAAGTGCATAATAAAGTATCGGTTTCCAAATCATCTACAATTTCTAGTAGTAACCGAAGTTTATCCTCAACATAACAAACTATTAACTCTTGATTAATATATAATCTGATAGTTATAATCATCTGTTAATATTTTAGTGTTATATAGTCTCAATGATTTACATAGTAACAGGTGGTGCTTTTAAATTTGTATTTTAAAACTAAAACTCCACATCGCATCAACAATTCTACTTCAACTTTGTGCCAGATGTCTCGGCAACAAATAGGAATTTACATGAATGTCATTTTCATTGTATTTTTGTTTGGGATTCTTTACATATTATTGTCAATTCATTTAATTTCTAAATGCCACTGACCCCAATCACAAACTTGAATCAATGTCTGCCGGTGAGACATGACAATACTGCCATGTGTCCTCCAAATTTGATAAAATCCCTCCTCAATTATTGACACATTACTTAATATTTAGTGAAAAATGAAAATGTATAGTTTGCGTTTAATGATTTGTTAAACATTTTTTACTGTTCCTTTTACTCTATTCGGAAAGAAATTTTTTAGTTTTCTTTACACGTCAAGCTTCACAAATTCCTCCGCACCACACATGAAAACCTGGGGTTTCCAAACTTAATGTGGAATATGTTAAAAGTAACCTAATATAAAACATGTGCTATATCACGGATTTTATCGATTTTAGCCGTGATATATGTGTCAGTTTTAGAGTCTTTTTGTTGTTTCTAGAGTCTTTTTGAGTATTTTTAGGTTTTTACACGTTCGCAACAAATCTGGAGATAAGGAACCATTCTGGAGCTAAACCGGAGATTTAGAGCTGAAGAAACGATTTCGGTGTCAGACCAAGGCATGAGTGTCGACCGACACCACACGAGGCCCAGCAAAAAGTCTCGACGGTTTGGAGTTTTTAAAGCCCGAAGAATCAACCCAGAAGATTTCCCTATTTGCAACTTTAGTCCCTGCACGTTTTTGAAGACTTTATAAATAGTTTTTAGGATTTTTCTATTTCATTATCTTAGATCTTGCTTTTTGCTTTTGGCTTTGTAATTCTTTGAGCTTGAACCCTTTGAAAGAGAATTAGAGAGAGCAACTTTTTAGAGATTTCAAAACCCTGTAGAGAGAAGATTTATTCTAAACTCTTTTCTTCTTTTGATTTCTTATCTTGTAATTTATTTAAACATGTTTTCTGTTTCATTAATCATGTTTGAGTAATCACCCTGTTAGGTTTAGGGATTCTCATTAGGGATTTAGATGAATTAGTAAATTGATTTTCTGTTAGGATTAATCTATAGAGTTCTTCACCTTAGGTTGTTATTAATGCTAGTTCAAGAGTAGCTAACTAGAACTTGATCATAGGATAATAGGTTTTGATCCGAGAGGGCGCCTGCTACTGGAACTATCTTAGGTGGGCAAATATTTCTAGATACATTAGAGAGGAGGTCTAGGAATATTTGTGAACATATCAAACCTGTTTTTAATGCTAGTCTAGATCTAGGAGTTCACATTCGAGAAGGTGGAATTACCTGATATTAGACTAGTTAGTCAATGCATCCGAGAGGAGGTTGGCTATACATTAGTGTTTTGAGTTCTAGAACGGTTCGATAATAATTCTAATTAATTTGCTAGATTTACTATTAGTTTATTTCCTGAGAATTTTCCTAAACCTGACGCTTTAATCCATTTGAATTTTCACCTGATTTAATTGCTTGTTTTTATTTGAATTTGCTTAATATTCTATTTAGCCTAATTTTGAAACTGTTAGCTTATTGTGTGAACAAAAGAATTTTATGGAATTCGACCCTAAAGTGCTACAATTGATCTCTTATTTAAAAGAGTAGTCTATAGGTCTAATTTGACTTGTATCAACATGCATGCTTTTCAAAGAAATTCTTGTTTGTTAGTATGCAAGTTAGACGGACGCAAATACCAAACTTTGACAAACTAATATAGAAATATATATATTTTTTTCTTCTTCTTTTTTTTGATAAAAAGGGAGATAGAAATAGTTATTGGGTAAATATATGTTGTTGTTTTCAACTTTTCAAATTAGTAAGGTTTTATTTGTTACAAGCTCGAAAAAGAAAAAAAAATGAAATTTTTTAGTTAGGTTAACATACATTTCTTATAGATTGTATATTGAACATACGGTTCAAACTTTATATATTAAAATTAATAAACAAAGAGTTGTGTATCTTTCTAAAACAAACAAAATTTTATGTATTTTTTCTTAAAATTGAAAAACACTTGATGTATTTTTTCGGAATTGTTTTTTTTTATTGTATAGAAATAAACAAACGACGAGAAAAGAATGGGAAAAATGTAGAAAAATGCACGAACTTTCAAATTTTGGACGAAAAAAACATGAACTTTCGAAATGTCATTTAAATCATAAAGTTTAAGTTGACTTTTTGACAAAATAGTGAAGTTTAGTTTGACTTGGCCATTTCGGGCATGCCGTTAACTTTCTGTTAACCAGACGATCACGGTGTTAAATTTCTGTTAGAACTCTCCGTTGAGTCTAAACGACGTCGTTTTGAAACTCTGAAACAACGACGTTTCATTATAAAATAAGATGGAAAAACTGCATCCATGGAGAATTGAACAGCTGACCTACTAGACTATCGAGAGACGCTCAACCATTGCGCAACAATAACATTATGGTATTATACCAAACAGAACATATATATATTAACAAATAACTATGTACAATTAATTAAAACTATATACAATTAATTAATAATAACAAAACTAGAAAAAAATATTACCAAACATATACAAATATTAAATATACTTACTATAAATATATATTTTGAAATTTTAAATACTAATTTTATATATAAAGATTTCTTCTTTATTTGGAAATTTATTTTTTCCTAAATTATAAAAAAACAAAACTGAAACTTATACAGTATAGAAAATTAAATATATGACATAAAACTTATTCAATCCTTCTCACATAAATATAGGATTAAAGATTGTATAAATTATAGGATTAAAGATTGTATATTATGTGAGAAGGATTGTATAAATTTTACATTTATGTGAGAAGGATTGTATAAATTTTATATCATATATTTAATTTACTATATTCTATAAGTTTCAGTTTTGTTTTTTATAATTTAGGAAACAATTTTTTCCAAATATAGAAGCAAATTTTAGATATAAAATTAAATATTTAAAATTTCAAAATATATATTTATGGTAATTATATTTAATATTTAAAATTGTACATACATATTTGTTAGTATATATATGTTCGGTTTGGTACAATACCAAAAAGTTATCGTAGCGCAACGGTTGAGCGCATGTCATTAGTCCAGTAGGTCAGCTGTTCGATTATCGGTAGATGTTGTTTTTCCATCTTATTTTCTAATGAAACGACGTCGTTTTAGTTTGAAAACGACGTCGTTTTGATTCAACGGAGAGTTCTAACGGAAATTTAACACCGTGATCGTCTGGTTAACGGGATGCCCGAAATGGCCAAGTCAAACTAAACTTTATGATTTAAATGACATTTTGGAAATTCATGTTTTTTTCGTCCCAAATTTGAAAGTTCGCGCATTTTTCGACATTTTTCCCGGAAAAAAATACGTACGTTATCACCACCCAAGCTTGCATGGGTTATAATGATTAAAGGGAAAAATGTCGGAAAATGCGCGAACTTTCAAATTTGGGACAAAAAAATCATAAACTTTTGAAATGTCATTTAAATCATAAAGTTTAGTTTGACTTTTTATAAAATGGTTATGTTTTCGTTGACTTGGTCATTTCGGACATGTCGTTAAATTTCCGTTAACGAGACGTTGACGGAGTTAACTTTCCGTTAGAAATCTCCGTTGAATCGAAACGACGTCGGTTTAAAAACAACAAAACGACGTCATTTCAGTGGAAAATAAAATGAATTAACTGCGTCTGTGAAGAATCGAACTTTCCGTCGTTTCGATTCAACGGAGATTTATAACGGAAAGTTAACCCCGTCATCGTCTCGTTAAAGGAAATTTAACAACATGTCCGAAATTTCCAGGTCAACGAAAACTTAACCATTTAATCAAAAGTCAAACTAAACTTTATGATTTAAATGACATTTCGAAAGTTCATGCTTTTTTTGTCCCAAATTTGAAAGTTCGCGCATTTTCCGACATTTTTCCCAATAATTAAATGCCAAAGGCTTCATTTGACATCGGTGGAAGTTTCTTGTACTCTCCACGAGACCCCAAAAGCAATTAATGATCTTTGTTTTGTTCTTTCAGAGGCAATAATGTAAAAAAATTTAAAAAATGTAATCCTATTTTATTTTATTTTTACTAAACAAAAGAAAAACACTCAACAAATAAACAAATAATCTGCCACTGTCACATGAGTCACATCCATTTGACTACACGAAATGCACTCGCTGTAGATAAATGTAAATAAGGTGAATACCCATGCACCACTTTATATGGTACAAAAAGAGAGCCTTTCTTCCTCATTTTACCACTCTTCTAAAACATATTTCTCTCTTCTCTCAAGTTCTTCAAGAGAAAACAAAAAGAACTGCAAAGAGAATTGGTGTGAGTGAAAATGGGAGTGGAAGGAACTATGGAGTATATATCGGACTTTTTGAAGAAGAGGAAGAGGAAGAAGAAGAAGCAAATGCAAACAGTAGCTCTCCGAGTTGCTCGTATCGACTGCGAAGGTTGTGAACGTAAGATCAAACATATCCTCTCCGGTGTCAAAGGTACGTATTTAGATATATGTACGTATGGTTTAACATGAAAGCCGAAGGCGTATCCACTTTCTATATAATTACAAGAAATTTTTATTTTTTAATAAATCAGTTTTAGGCAACCATCGTGATCCATTAATGGTTACAGATTTGCCATGTTGGTCGAAGCCACAGATCAAATTGATTCCACTACTTTCCATCTTAATTGACAATGAAATTTGGTATTTTGTACATGCCCGGTCTAAGCATAGGCAAAGAAAACCATTAAGAGTTAGGATCCGACATTTTTTAAATGCCAACTTTTAGATAAAGAGATTTTTTACATAAACAATTAAGAATATGAAAGAGGTAAGTATAACTCGAGCTAAAGGGTATCACTTTTAAATATCGAGTGGACATCTGGAAACATTAGACCGGCCCCGGAATATTGGTCTCAATTACTTTGGGTTTGGCTCTTTTTTTTTATTTAATACCAGAGGTTCTGGGTCAAAGCCTGTAATCTCCCCAGACTTGAAAGCACATCATGTAATATTAGTTTCGTCCTAAGCTTCATTCGAACTGGCGATCTCTAAGGTTCGCCTAGGATCTTTACCGGTTGAACTAATGACACTTGGTACTTTTTGTTTGGCTCTTTGATGTCAAAAAATTTGGTTTTCTTGAATCTCATCATGAAATATGTGTTTTAGGTATTTTTGAATATATATCACATTTTGGACCAATTTTAGTCAGCACTACGATAGATCTCTGATTATCCGGTGCTATTTACAATTTATAGACTCGTTGCACTTTAGAAAATGTGACTCCTAAGAAAAAAATATGAAAAATGGATTTAATTTTTTTTTGACTCATTTGGACAGGGGTGAAGTCAGTGGACGTAGACGTGAAGCTGCAGAAGGTAACGGTAACGGGATATATAGAGCCGAAGAAGGTTTTGGAGGCGGCGAAGTCAACGAAGAAGAAAGTGGAGTTATGGCCTTACGTTCCTTACACAATGGTGGCGAATCCGTACATATCTCAGGCGTATGACAAGAAGGCACCACCAAACATGGTTCGGAAAGTCCCCGACACGGCCTCTGTCAACGAGACCACCGTTGATGACTCTTACACCATTATGTTTAGCGATGAGAATCCTAATTCTTGCGCTATCATGTAGAAGAGTGTAATTTTTGTTATGGATTTTGGTAGTAGTATACGTAAGAATTGTTGTGTGGGGGTTTGGGTTTTCAAATGTAACGTGAGAAAATCGAAATGTCTTTTGACAATTACAAAGAATTTGAATAATAAGGTTTCTGCTTTCTAGATAGCTAAATATGTTTTGAAATATTCTGTTGATGATGATATATAATTCATTTAGTTACGGTATATATTAATTGAAGAGAAAGAAGGAAACTTAATGGAAATTTGATAAGCGTCAATATTAGTTGTTTTAAAAACAGACCAATATAGGGAAAATTGGAAATAAAGGACAAATAATTAAACTATTGTCCATCTATGCATTCTATATTCATGATTGGTCATATATACTTTAATATTGGTCATATATGATTCTATATAATTAAAATCCCAATATGCCCCTAGTCTTTTAAAATCTTACTAAACTATTAAAAAAATTCAAAATTAAATTGATTTCTTCCTAAAAACAACTTGGAAAAAATATAGGACAAAATCAACATTTATTTACATTCCATTATTTGTTTTGCCGTAGATAATTTCATATCTTCTTCTTCTTTGATTCTCTTGCTCATCAAAGTTAAGCTTTCGTAATTGTTCTCTCCTCTCTAATAACGCCATATTAAACAACTTTTTTTTTCTTCTTCTTCAATCTCTCTCTCTCTATCTCCCTCCCTTGATTTCAATTTCGTAATGGAGCGCAACTGTAATTTTCCGGGTTTTGAAACAAGAAATTAAACGTAATCTATAGGAAAAAGTGTGAAGTATAAAGAAAAATTCTAATTTGTGTTATAATTTATTCACTTAGGTATAAAGAATTTTAAAGTATTCAAAATTCAAATAATTTTCCGGGTTTTAAGACAAGAAATAATGCGTAATCTATAGGAAAAAGTATGAAGTATAAAGAAAAATTCTAATTTGTGTTATTCACTTAGGTATAAAGAATTTTAAAGTATTCAGAATTCAACTTCTGTAATTTGCAGATGTAATCAAATTCACTATATTCAATTTCCATATTTTAAGATTTTTTTAAAAAAATCTAAATTAGATAGAATGTACTTTCTAATTTTTATAGAATAAAAAAAAATCTTAAGAATATGTTTTCTAACATTCTTAGAACATGAGTAAATGTTAGAAAACATATTCTAATTTTCGTAGAACAAAGAACAAAGTATAGAATATGTATTCTAAAAGTCGTAGAAACTAGTATTCTAACTACCGTAGAAAAGAAATGACTTCTAAATTTTGTAGAACATGTAGAGTGTGTAGAATACATAATCCAAATTTTGTAGAACATGTAGAGTGTATAGAATATACATTCTAATTTCAGAAGACATATTCTAAACTTTATAGATCAAATTTTATCCATCTAAAACGAAAACAAAACAATATATTTTTGACATTTTATATATCTTCATGTCTTCTTCATCATTTTAATACATATTTTTCTTAATTGTTTTTGAAACAATTGGTTCAATCTTATGCAAGGGGTAGTTTAGGAATAGTTGATATTTGTTCATAGAATTCATATATGGACAAATACTTATATATTTATCCTTTATTTCCAATTTTCAAAATTGGAAATAAAGGACAAATAATTAAACTATTGTCCATCTATGCATTCTATATTCATGATTGGTCATATATACTTTAATATTGGTCATATATGATTCTATATAATTAAAATCCCAATATGCCCCTAGTCTTTTAAAATCTTACTAAACTATTAAAAAAATTCAAAATTAAATTGATTTCTTCCTAAAAACAACTTGGAAAAAATATAGGACAAAATCAACATTTATTTACATTCCATTATTTGTTTTGCCGTAGATAATTTCATATCTTCTTCTTCTTTGATTCTCTTGCTCATCAAAGTTAAGCTTTCGTAATTGTTCTCTCCTCTCTAATAACGCCATATTAAACAACTTTTTTTTTCTTCTTCTTCAATCTCTCTCTCTCTATCTCCCTCCCTTGATTTCAATTTCGTAATGGAGCGCAACTGTAATTTTCCGGGTTTTGAAACAAGAAATTAAACGTAATCTATAGGAAAAAGTGTGAAGTATAAAGAAAAATTCTAATTTGTGTTATAATTTATTCACTTAGGTATAAAGAATTTTAAAGTATTCAAAATTCAAATAATTTTCCGGGTTTTAAGACAAGAAATAATGCGTAATCTATAGGAAAAAGTATGAAGTATAAAGAAAAATTCTAATTTGTGTTATTCACTTAGGTATAAAGAATTTTAAAGTATTCAGAATTCAACTTCTGTAATTTGCAGATGTAATCAAATTCACTATATTCAATTTCCATATTTTAAGATTTTTTTAAAAAAATCTAAATTAGATAGAATGTACTTTCTAATTTTTATAGAATAAAAAAAAATCTTAAGAATATGTTTTCTAACATTCTTAGAACATGAGTAAATGTTAGAAAACATATTCTAATTTTCGTAGAACAAAGAACAAAGTATAGAATATGTATTCTAAAAGTCGTAGAAACTAGTATTCTAACTACCGTAGAAAAGAAATGACTTCTAAATTTTGTAGAACATGTAGAGTGTGTAGAATACATAATCCAAATTTTGTAGAACATGTAGAGTGTATAGAATATACATTCTAATTTCAGAAGACATATTCTAAACTTTATAGATCAAATTTTATCCATCTAAAACGAAAACAAAACAATATATTTTTGACATTTTATATATCTTCATGTCTTCTTCATCATTTTAATACATATTTTTCTTAATTGTTTTTGAAACAATTGGTTCAATCTTATGCAAGGGGTAGTTTAGGAATAGTTGATATTTGTTCATAGAATTCATATATGGACAAATACTTATATATTTATCCTTTATTTCCAATTTTCCCTATATAATATTGGTCTGTTTTTAAAACAACTAATATTGACGCTTATCAAATTTCAAGTTGTTTTTAGGAAGAAATCAATTTAATTTTGAATTTTTTTAATAGTTTAGTAAGATTTTAAAAGACTAGGGGCATATTGGGATTTTAATTATATAGAATCATATATGACCAATATTAAAGTATATATGACCAATCATGAATATAGAATGCATAGATGGACAATAGTTTAATTATTTGTCCTTTATTTCCAATTTTCCCTATTATATATTGGTTTATATCAATGTGTAACTATCCAAATTGAAAACTCTATAATGAATGTTGTTGACAAAAAAAATATCAAATTTTTTTATATCTTTTATGAATTATTTTATATTTGTTTCCGATTCTACAACTTCAAGTCTTCCTAGAATATCTAAAAACGTGTTAAATAGATGTGATTGGCTTGAGGATCATAGATCATATAGATTTATGGTTAGTCAATTGATGTAGTATTTTACGATCACCAAACTTGGCATACCTTTCGTAGTTGACAAGTTATGTTAGTACTTAGTCTCTCCATGCATTAATCATTTCAAGGCAATTCACAAACTTTTGCAATTCATCAAAAGCATACTCGGTCTAGGTTTGTTATATCATACCATTTAAAGTTATATGTGAAGGGTTTTACTAGTTTTAATTGGACAATATGTCCTGACAATCATTGCTATGTAACTGCTTTATGCATGTTTCTTAGTTTGTCTCTTATCTCTTGGCGATCCAAGAAACAATATTTCATGTTTTGTTTGTTTTATAGCACTACAACTACCAACATTACTAATAACCTTGTGTTTTATTAACGCATAAAGCATATCTAAATTGATTGTTATATGGTTAGATAGAGGTTGGAACTTGGATCACTCAAAACAATGCACATTCGAACCAATATTTAGTTGTTGGATCTTGGTTCTATTCACTACACCAACAGAGCGAATGAAGCGAATTATTGACACGTCAGAAGGATTTATTTACCTAGTATGATCCTCTCAATGTATATTTTCTTTTTTGCATATGTTCACATGTGTTTTCTTAATTTGATAATGTATTGGCGCTTGTTATTGGGTTTAATAGGTGAACTCAATTGGAGTGACTATTGCACAAGCATCTGTAAGCGGAAAGGTTCAATAGCTTTTGAAGGATATCAAAGAGGTCTACTATATGGTTTTTTCTTAATTAATATTGTTTATCAATTATCTTGAAATGATTTAGAAATGTTCAAGTTGGTTTCGAGAGATTGGCTCTCATCTTGATAGAAAGTGGTAGATGTTATTTTTGGGTTGGCCGAGGACACCCTTGGTAAATCTCTTCTGCATGAGCTTCCGAAGAAGAAGTTTTTGTGGTCTCTTGGGTCTAGTATTTCTATGGTTTTTGCCTAATTGCTTATGATCTTAGTTTTAAGGTTTGTCCTCTTTCGATTTCAGTTTGAAAATTCGATTTCGGTTTGTCCGAAGAAGAAGTTTTTGTGGTCTCTTCGGTCTAGTATTTCTATGAAAATTCTGTTTTGTATTGAAAAACCTAAGGTTAAGTTTCTCTTAAGTTGTCTTTATTGTTGCGTCTTTGATGACTAATTTTGTTGTGTCAACAGATAGTTGGTGTAGAGGATATGTAAATATTAGGAAAGTTAAGATTATGTTGTAATTACTTTAACCTAGTCTCCCATTGTACTCTCCTATATATACTCTGTAATCTCTTCTCAATAATATTAAGCCTCCTATTCTATAGTTGGATGGGGAGCTGATGGTGAAGCTATTGGGGGTGATGCAAAGTCACCAACATAAGGGCTTAAGGAGCTTGAGAAACTCACCAAATCTGCTCTTCTTTGAAACGCAAACATTTCTAGACAATATCGTTAGATTGTGTTTTGTTTTTGTTGATTATAATCAATGTGTGACAATGTGACATTCACAATGATGTGCTCAACTTTTGATATGTTTCAAGTACGATTAAGTTACGGTGACTCAAGCCATAAGTTTCAAATTTATAGTCTCAAATTGGGTTCGATAAACTTGCGACCCGGTTTGGTATTTTGGTTTGACTAAACCCAATCAAAAACAAACAACATGGCTCCCATATTATAATTTTCTTTCAATGAATGAGAAATAAATAAAAGAAATTCCAAGAGTTTTTTTTAGGGTTTTCAAAAATTCAAATTACAAAATATTCCATCCCGCTAAAGTTTATTGTCCCATCCAGTTCAAGCAAAAATAGATGAGAGGAGGGGCC